CTTGAGTTCACCTGGCTAATTTTATTGAATGCCTCATTAATTTCTCTGACTTGTCTTTGAATCCAGTATATTTTTTGAGAAACACCCAGCTCCTTTCCATTAAAAACTCTATCATTTCTCCATTTCCATAGCCACCGAAGTGTAATGGCGAAGGTAATTTTGTAGCTATGGCTACGCCTATTACAGCTCCAACCCTCCAGTCCTGCGTCGAACCATTCCAGAAAAGACATTCCTTGCGTTCTATTAGCCATGTTGGGCAAAAGTGCCGTCCAGACTTGCCAAGCTTTGGGACAACACCTTAAGATATGCTCTGTTGATTCTATCGTGATGCTACACAAGTCGCACTTGTTACCGGCAGTGATCCCTCTTTTAGCTCTGTTTTCATTTGACATAATCCTGTTATGTCTAGCAAGCCATAAGAAAATTTGAATTCTGCTCGGAATTTTCAGCTTCCAAATATTACTCCAATGGCGTTTTTCGGGAGGGGCCTGTGGGTTGCTCAAAAGAGCATAGGTTGAAGACACAGAGAATTCCCCAGACGCACTAGGGCCCCAACCATTCATGTCTTCTAACTCTTCATCTTCTATTAAGACGAAAGCCGCTAGTTTCTGTATGACTTGGTGTGGCAATAGATCCATTATTTCCTCCCACTTCCAACCACTAGAGGCAGCCCAGTAATCTGCCACTCGGGTATACAAAGTTGGTAGAGGAAGGGTTACTGTTAGATACTTAAACAATGGTTGTTGGTCGATCCAAGGATCCATCCAGAAAAGGGTGCTTTTGCCATTCCTTACGATCTTCTTATTACCTTTCAGGAGAATTGGTACTGCTCCCAGGATTCCCTTCCATGCATTAGACATAAGAGTCTTTGGTTGCCATGTGTTGGGATCGAGACTCTGCACATTATACTTGGCCTTCATAATCTGGGCCCAAAGACCCTTTTCACCCATCTGGATCCTCCACCCAAGCTTGACCATAAACGCCACATTCATACTGTCTAATTTTCTTATTCCTAGACCTCCAGCCCCAGTTTCTTTTGTGACTGTTTCCCAAGCCACCAGATTGCATCTCCTTTTCCCAGCAGCCCCTCCCCACAAAAAATTCCGAATTAGCTTTTCAATATTCCTGATTACCCCTAATGGAATAACCGTAGACTGCATTGTGTAGATTGGAATCGCAGAGAGCACTGATTGTACAAGGACTCTCCTACCTGCCAAGGAGAGAGTCTTCATTTTCCATCCTGCCAGCATGTCTTGAACTCTATCAATCAGACCCTGGAACGTGTCCTTTTTAAGTCTACCATGATGAGAAGGTACCCCCAAGTATCTTCCCAGGTTTTCAGTAGTTGTAATATTAAGAAGATCTGTTATTGCACATTGATCATCAGGGGTGTTTCTTGAGAAGAAGATAGATGACTTATGGAAGTTCACTCTTTGTCTTGAGCTAATACAGAAAGAGTCGAGGCACTGTTTAATTACCATTGCTTGTTGTAGGGATGCCTCCCCAAACAGCACCATATCATCCGCAAAGAGGAGATGAGATGTGCATGGACCATTCCTGGATACGCTGATTCCTTTCCACAAGCCTCCTTCAACCTCCTCATTGATTAAGTGACTAAGCCGCTCGATACACAGCACAAAAATTAGTGGTGATATGGGATCACCTTGCCGAATGCCCCTAGATGGCTTAAACCAGTGTGATTGTTGGCTATTTAACGAGATAGCCATCCTTGTAGTCGTAACACACCCCATTATGTGTCTGATCCAGATCTGGTTGAACCCTGCTTCGTCAATTCCCGAAGTGTTTCCTCAATAAAGTTCCATGATAGCCTATCATAGACGTTTTCGAGATCTATCTTTAGGATCATTGAACCTACTTTCCCTTTCCTGCGGCTAACTGTGTTCAGCACCTCTTGGTAAGCAATAATATTGTCAACTATCTGTCTTCCGGGAACGAAACTTGATTGGTTGGGGCCAACAAGTTTCTGGATTGCCAACTTCAATCTAGTGGTTAGAGTCTTTGAAATTACCTTGTATGACACATTACAGAGGCTAATAGGCCGCAACTGCTTCACATTCTCAGGGCATTGGACTTTTGGGATCAAAGTTACGGTCGTGTCATTACACCCCTCCGGAAGATAGCCTGAAGTGAAGTAATCCAGCACGTAATTAGTCAACTTGTCTCCCACTACTGTCCATAAACGTTGACATGAAAGGTGCCATGTCATAACATGCTTGTTTGATTTCCAGCGCAGAAAATGGAGCATTCACATGGTCCCAATCTGCTGTTTCGAGAGCTGGGAAAGATCTTCTCCACATCGTTTGGCTGTGACTCCCCACATCGTCTGAATATAGATTTATAAAATATTCAGTAACATGGTTTAGGATGGCTTCGTCTAATGTTAACCATTCATCATGATTATTCTTTAGTCGAGTTATCCTGGAATTGGCTCTCTTGGCCGCAGAAGCGGCGTGATAGAACCTTGTATTGCGTTCACCAGATGTTATCCCATCCTCGCGTGATTTTTGAAACCAATAGAGTTCTTCATGGTTCAAGATCTCCTCTAACTCCTTTTGCAGCTTAGTGTTCAGCCGGAATAAGTCCGATCTTGGCCCATTTGCAATTGCTCTCTGCACACCATCTATCCTTGGTAGAACTCTTCGCTTTCTTTGGAAAATGTTCCCAAAGGTATTATGATTCCAGTTCTGTAGCTCATATGCTAGGCTCTTTTTGGCTTGTTCCAGATCATCATCTGCCTTCCAATTGTTCTTCACAAACATCGAAAATTCGGGGTGTAAAGACCAGGCCGCATCATACTTAAAGCTCCTCGGGCCCCTAGAACTTTGGATCATCGTTGTTTTTATGAGGAGAGGAGTATGGTCGGAGCAGACCATAGGCAAGTGTGTTACACTAGCATCTGGAACTAGCATCCTCCATTCCGCATTACAAAGAGCGCGGTCGAGTCTAGCTGCCTTGAAGGATGTAGAGCTCGAGCCTCTGCACCAGGTAAACTGGGAGCCTTCAAAGCCAAGATCTACTAGGCCCTCGTCGAAAACCCATTTCCTGAAACCTGCACACCGAGAAGGCGAAAAATTAGTACTGTTGGAAACTTCCTCCCTAGAAAGCCCCGAATTATAATCTCCTACCGTTAACCAAGCTCCCTGAACATTCAACCTCTCCTGAGACAAATCTATAAAGAGATGTCTTCTTAGCGCGTAGTCAGGGCTACCATATATATACAAAAGAGATATACCAAGGCTGCAAATTAGCCTCTACAACTCTCATCAACACAAATTGGGGGTGGGTAAAGGAGACTTCAACCATAGTATCTATCCTCCAGAATACCCATATCCCCCCTGAGAAGCCAAAGGCTTCAACCCTCAACCAGTTATCATACCCAAGATCAAAGCAGATCTCATTAGCCTGTTCTCCGGAGACTTTTGGCTCGAGGAGACACATAACACATGGCTTAAACTCACGTAGATAAAGTTTAAGGGTTCGGCGAAACACTCGGGATGCCGCCCCCTGACAATTCCACACTAGAACATTCATTAACAAAATTATAAGGAAAAGGGCAGCTCAATTGAGCAACGGGGGCCCTGCAGCCATTCCAGGCAAACTCATATTCGAAGGTTCTTCCTCCATTGCGTCCTTTGGTGTGTCACAGTCGAAAAAGTCGGCTCCATCTTCAGGGGGGCCATCAAAATTGTGATTAGTTGTCAGGCGGAATGCTGGGATTCCAAAGATCAATCTACCGATTATTAGTTTGAATTTAATTAGTTTAATATAAAATATAATTTGTGAAGTAAATAATAATATTTTACTACAATTTAACTCTATGATGTAAATTAAAATTTTAATTAATATATATTTAATATTAGTCTTGTTTCAATCGTCTCAATGAGATCTTTAAAATTGTATAATTTATATTTAATAATACAAATTTTACAGGTAAGTATTTAACAAAATAAAAAATATATAAAAATAAATAAATTATACTTTTGAAATTGGATAAATAAGCAAGGACAAAAGAGTAATTTTAACCCTACTCTCACATTTGGGAGAGATTAATAATGTCATGCCATATATGGTGTGGCACTATTCAACTCTGCCAAAAAATTTAACATTTACTGCTAGGTTGGAGCAAGAGAAAATGGCTATGGAATATGGTGTTGTGTCGTTACCTTAAAAGGTAAAATTTTAAAACAACAATTAAAAATTTAAGAAAAATAATACGGAGTAATAATAATAATAAAAGGGTATCCTCCAGTCTCCCATCGAAAATCAACAGATCCATGGAATCGACTCCATGGCGCTTGCCTTCATCCCTTCATAATTTTTTAAAGGTTTGAAGGGACGAAGGCAACCACTATGGCTCCCTTCGTCCCCTCCAGGATCTGGTGGTTTCCAACCGAGACCATCGGTTGGAGACCTTGGTTTTTTAATATAAAATAACAATAATAATTTCACCTAATTACTAGTTGATAACTTGTCACTTCAGGTCACTTGGGATGGATTACATGATTTTAAAATGTCAAATGGTTGAATTGTAATTTTTTTAGTTGAATGGTAAAATTGCGATTTTAAAATATCAAATGGTTCAATTGTAAATTTTTTTAGTTGTATGGCAAAATTGCATTTTTACGTTTTGTTCGATGACTAATTTGACCTTCATTCATATAAAATTGTACGCAAATTTAAGTTGAATTGGATTTTTTACTAAATTACTAAATTTAAAATGTTTAGTTAGAATTGTCAAGAATAAAGACCGAGTTATTTGTCAAGCATCTTGTGCTTAGATGACATGTAGTGACCTCATGTGAGAGGTCATGAGATCAAGCCTCAGTGAAGGCGTTGTGTCTGTAGCATTCAAAAAAAAAAAAAAAAAAAAAAAAGACCGAGTTATTTTCCCCTTTAATTTTATATCCGAGCCGCCAGGCATGCATTAGTGACAGATAACAAGTGGTGTGATTATCATTACAACATATTCAAAGCTCACCATCACTCTTAAATCTTAATAGTTTAGGCAATTAAATAAGGTGCTTATCAGTTGTCATTAGAAGGGTCATTTTTGTGGACAATATCGTTACAATGGTATTGCAATGCTGAGACTATACATATGATAATTTGAACAGTTAATATACTTGTATACCTAGAAACTGAACGGCCTAACAATGATATTTACCTCCTCTCACTTGGTCTTACAAAATTCTTTTGCGGGGTATATTCAAGCAAGGCAGGTGGCTTTTTGAATCTTCCATGTTGACGCAATAGCTCCCACCAATGAGATGTCTTCACCGCCTGCTTGTTACCATGTCTCCCCTTCTTTGACTGCAGGTTGCCATGTTTCAGTGACTTTGAATTCTTCAACCCCTGTACAAGAGCATGAAAATGGCTCCCATGTTGGCTTTTGCCACGTTGATCACATACCACAGGTTTACCGAGCTTTTGCACAGCCTGTTGTTGTTCTTCATGGACCTCATGTTTTCTTGGAGGGCAGGGGCTTTTTCCTTTGTGCTTTGGCAAAGGTGTTTCATGGTTTACCTTGGTTCTGTGATTAGTAGTATTCTCGGCTTTCTTATCGTTATTTTGATGATGGTGGTGATGGTGGTGGTGATGAAATATAATTCCTAGCTTGTCTTTGAACTTCGTCCACCGTCCAACTTGTTTCTTAGTTTTCTCCACACTAGCAGATTTATATGCCCTAACAGGACTGCAAGTCTTTGACGAAGAATCATTAGAGTAGGAATTAACTGGCTGGCTGGATTGCGAGGATGCCTCACTCTCGCCACTGTGTGTAGAACTCCTTCGAAGAAAGCTAGCACTATCTGGAAACGATGGCGAGTAAGCCTCATTCTCACAACTGCTTGAGTCATTTATGTAACGGCTTCTTCTTCTGATGAGATGTGAAGGGTATAACTCACTATCGCTGCAACTGCCGCTAATTGGTGCATCTGTATAATTCTGGTGGTGGCCCGATTCTGAATAGTCTTCGGTATGACTACCATAAGTGCTTCTCGGCTGGCTTGAGTATGAGCTCGACACTGTAGCCTCTGGTTCCTGCTCTAGTAGATACCTTCTTTTTGGATAGTTTGTAAACTTCTCCTTCCTTGACAATCCAAAGTGATTTAGATCCTTCAGACTTTTATACAAGTTTTTTCTGGCCTCTATTAGGTGGCCATGCTTGGATTCCTTGGAATCCAACCAAGTCTGCCTCGTAGTTTTATGATGCTGCAAATCCTTTTCACTGTCCTTCAGCTGCACGGTTGATTTGGGAATTCTCGGTTTCCTGGGATTCGGATTCAAAGGCACGAGATCTTGATCCCGGTTTATAGCAGGCAAAGCAGAAAGTGTATTTACTGTCTTGTTTTGGCCTTGTGAGATACTATAACCCTTACGATCAGGAGTTGTCCGGTTTGCAAAACCATGACCCGAGCTGTTTGGTTCACGCGCAGACTCCAATTTGTTGAGAATGGTCTTGAGGTCCTGAAGAGCAAGCCAATTTCCTTTCAGTATCTGCATCTCGTGGTCATCATCAATAGGCTCTTCGCCCCGACCTGACACATTATGTTTTGAGACAAGATCTGCATTTCTCATGTGTTCACGAGTCATCGTAGCTTGATTAGCAGCCAAATTTGGAGATGTTGAATCAGTTAGTTGATTCATCATCCTAATAGGACCCTGATATAGTGAATTTATAGGCTCCACAGAACATTGACGGTCCAAATGATACTGTGAATCGTTTACAACTGCACGAGCTTGACATGGATCGCTACTGGCAACCAATCCTTTTGTCCGCTTAATGGCACTCGAGATATCCATTTGCAGAAAACAATCAGCAACTGTATCACGCGACTCAGATCCAATGACATTTGTACCCGATTTGGCTTCCAATTGCAGAGCTGAAATATGCATTTCAATTTGCTTGATGGCGTCTGAAACTTCTCTAGAAAAACAACTGTTGTCCTCGGGTATCCCCTCGGTTTCAGGAGTAAACTCATGCCTAACTTCTGTTTTAACAAAATCAAACTCCGGCCTATATGAAGAAGAAGCCACAGATCCAATGCCACTTGAGACACCACCGAGAAAAACTCCATTCTCATTTCCCCTTTCATTGCTTCCTGAGGTGAAGCAAAAATGGCTACTTTGATTGCTTGGCATATCATCCTCCAATGTTGTAACTCTTATAGAGCTCGGTCTTCCATGATCAGAAAACTTGGCTTTCCCTATAGGCTTAAATTGCTTCACAGTTTTGGGGCGTTGGCAAACCCTGCAGCGTTTCCTGCTATTTTCAGATTCAGTTGCAGAGAAGACGAGATTTGGCATCTCTATCACACCTACCTCAGTTACTGGCTTAACAACTCCTTCCAACTTTAATCCACCGGTTTCTGTTCTAACAGATTGCTTTTCCCAACTTTGCTTCAACGCATTTGATAATGCAAGATGTTGTTCTTTCACCGAGCCTTTCAACCGTTGTGGCTGTCCAGACGTACATTTCAAAGATGCATCAACCTGACCAGCTACAATCTGCAACACATTTAAGCGAACAAAAAGGAGGAATTACACAAAGAAGTTCCTAGATAAACGCTTACATATTGTGAATGCCGGGAGCCTTCTTCTCCCTACAAGGAATACCTAAACTGCCAAGACTAATAAAAATTCATGAATTGTTCAAGAAATCTGAAACCTACAAAGAAGTGGAAAAATTACCCGTGAATGGGCCTTTAAAATCCTTTCAGTTGCACTGTCAAGTAAACTTTTTAACAGAAGCCGCGCTTTATTATCCAACTGCTCCAAAACATAAAAGCAAAAGGCATCAGAACTAAGTAGGCCCTAAAACTTGGACAAAAAGTCCTGCTAGTCTTTTTTGATTCTATTGCTATGTTCCACAAAAACAGCAGGATTTAAACGAGCTTCGGTTTCCCATTGAGAAGGGAAAATTCTGAATAGCAGAGATGATAGATCATAGATGAATCAAAAGGTAAAAGCTTGACCAAATCTAAAATTAGAAATCAGATTTTGAATGCATGATCAAGAAGGAAATGCTGATCAACAGTTCAACATTATAACCACAAACATAGAAGAAAACAGAGGAAACTACTGGGGGAATTAGTTTGAAAGCATGATTTCAGGAAAAATTAGCAAAACAAGAGTTGCGGTAAAATGCAAACAAGAACATTATGTTCAGCTTGTTATCAAACCCACTTTAGTGGGTAATTCAGGCCTAACTAAAACCTCAGAAATGTTAATTTGTCTAAAAATCATACATTTTTTTCCCAAAAGAGAACTTACAGTTTCAGAGATCACATTTGGCAAGCCATCCTCATCCTGTTTTAAAAGTCCATATAATTGCATTAAGGCATGGAGATTTGATTGAATATCTTCAATATCCATTACTCCATTAACACCCTACACAAATAAATATCAGCAAAATACTGAAAAGACCCATCCAACAACACTTGCTAACAGGTCATTCAAACAACATTTGTAATCTGGAACCCCAAATTTGAAACAGTACAGTGGGTAATGCTCAAATTTTTTGAATTTCAACACCAAATGAGAATACAATAATACTGAAGTGCCTATATATATACATACCCATTTTACGGTAGAAAATAGTGTTTATTCGACATTTTATAAAGAAAATTTAAATTTCGGAACGCAAAAACATCGATCTGCGGAAGAAAGCAAATTTAAGGACTCTATTGATGCTTACATGCTGTATATAGAGAGATCTTTTCGGCAACTCAGACTCGTCAGGGGAATTTTATTCTTCGTCCCTCCTTGAACACGAGAACAGAGAAACGTCAATGGCAGCAAAAATTGGGCGGTTGAATAGAAATCAAAATGAGACTGAGTTGTAATAAATACTCCGTACTAACTGTTATATGGTTCTTCATGGTATACGTAAAAATGTCTAACGTAGCCCTTTGTCCTGGGAAGAACACTTTCGAACTGTGCATTGTTAGAACCGGACTGAAACATGGAAGGTTAAGAACCGGATTGCACCATTTACTAACTAAAAATTTCTGAAAATTGAAAAAAAAAAAAAAAACAGAAAATATGTTTACTAGCACAGTTTTTCATTTTGAAAATTGAAAATAATTTTTGAAAATTTTTGAAAAATTAAAACACTATTAAAAATTGTTTTCTAAATGGAAAACAGCTATCAACTATTTAGTTATATGTCACTACTCACTATAAGATAAATTCATTACCATCTTATTTTACTTATCACTATCTTTTATCTTTTCTACTTTATTTATTTAAACATAACTTATTTGCTTACACTTTAAAGTTAGACATTATTTACATTATCAAAATTAAGAATTAAGCTCTATATAATGTTTTAGATTTTGATTGAACTCAATATATTATTAGTTCAAATATTTTTAATTATGTTACATCGTAATACAAGTTCAGTCCAGATATTGGATATTGGAATATCACATATATTAGAATTCAAAGGAAAAGTTATATCTAAAAACATAATAAGTGTGGATGAAGGTTATACACTTCATTTATGTCCATTTTTTCCGTTAAGTTTTATGATACATTATGCTATAAATGTTGTACTATATAATATTCTGGATAAACATACCCCTACCGTTATAACTTCCGTTATCTTTTCCACTATTGCTACCATGCACACGCATCCACCATATATTATCTTATTTTCAATATAATAATAATAATAATAATAATAATAATAATAATAATAATAATAATAATATACACATTATATATTGGGGGTTATATGTTAGTTATTTCTTAAAATATAAATATTAAATTTATAGAAATGGGGGTTATATGTTATTTATTTCTTAAAATATAAATATTAAATTTATAGAAATGTTTTACATTATTATTATTATTATTATTTTTATTTTTATTATTACAATAATTTAAATATCTAAAATATAAATAAATTTAAAATTTTAATATAAAATATTAATATTGGCCACCTATTTTTTGCGCATCGCGCATAAGAAATACTAGTATACTATATATATATATATATATATATATATATATATATATATATATATATATATATATATATACACACACACACACACACACTAATAAGAGCCTAGAGAGTTAGGCCTATAATGGGTAGAAAAAATAGCGGTCAAATTTTTTAATCAAATGAATGGCTCAAATTGACCAGATTTTAATTTTTTCTTAAGATTTCCTAATTTATCCTTAATGAATATGATTATCCGTTAACTTTTCCGTTAAATATTATTTTTTTCGTTAATTTCTGTTAGTTCACCGTTAACTTACTCAATGATTTACCAAGTGGCTTGTAGTCCACTGGTATTGGATTGCTCTCCTAAGTGGGAGGTGTAAGGTTCGAACCTCAATTGAGGCAATAGTGTGTATATGTAGGGTATTTCCCTTCTTTATAATAATAAAAAAAAAAAAAAAAAAAAAAAAAAAAAAACTTACTCAATGATTTCAATAAGAAAGGTCTTAGGTTCGAACCCCATCCCAATCAAAATTGGTACATAATTAGTATTCTATTTTACTTTTATTACATTAAAATAATAATTTAGTAGCTACAACAAAAAATAATACATATGTATTTCTTTAATTTAGAATTATGTGTCTACAATGTCTTTATTAAAAAAAAATTATTCATTATCAATAAATTAAATAAGAGAAATAATTTCATTAGTTATATTATCTTTATTTTTCTCCAATATAAAAATTCTTTACATTCAAATTCATCAATTGATTATATTTCGCTACATTGTCCCTACAATGTCTTTATTAAAAAAAAATTATTCATTATCAATAAATTAATTAAGATGAATAATTTTATTAGTTATATTGTCTTTATTTTTCTCCAATGTAAAAATTCTTTACACTCAAATTCATCAATTGATTATATTCGCTACATTGTTCTTACAATGTGTTTATTCGAAAATAAATTTATTCATTATCAATAAATTAATTAAGAGAAATAATTGCATTAGTTATATTGTCTTTATTTTTCTCTAATGTAAAGTGATACTGCTAACTCTGTGTAAGCAATATAAAATAACACGAGACCAATTAAAGCAAGTAAAATCTTTATTGATCCCGGTAAAGGCCCTAAGTACAATCTACTTGGCTGCTCCGAGTACCGACTGACTGCGGTCGGGATTCTCTAACAACAACCTATCGATCGTCCAAAAGTCCCTCACACTGTAGCTACTGCGGGTATTTATAGCCGCTATGCCGGGGACAGGATTCCAGCCGTTCGGCATGTCCTCCACGTAGCCACCACGTGTCATCCTCCCGGGTGCCCTGCCTGTCGATGTAAAGAGCCGCCACGTGTCCGTCGTCAGCTCTTTCGCCAAAGGGCTACCGCTCGGTGGTCGACACCGTCGCTCGGGCAACTCCCGGTCGGTCTACGACCGAGTTCTTCTCGTGGAGCCCGACCTGTTACCTGCAAAGACAAGGAGAAAAGGACAAAGGCTTCTCGGTCGTGGTGAAGCTATGCCGGTCGGGATATTCCCTACCAAGAGCCCCCCAGCCCGGGCCTTTTTGATCAGTCGGGAAAAAACGGGACGGGATGAAGAAGCCCAACCGTCGGCCATCAAGCCGACCTGCCAGCTGTCATTCCCTCCTACGCCACGTGTCGGCCTCTACCGGCCTCGGCGATCCCATCCGTCGCCTCGGATTCAGCGCGGGTCGTGTCAGGCAAGTTGGCCCATTTCCCGCCTAAATGCCCTCCTATAAATAGGCCCTTGAGGCCCTCATTTGAACTTTCCTCACTCTTTTGCTTCAGTCGGTATCCTCTAAGAATCCCGAGCAGAGCATCTCAGCGAGGCGATCAAGCAAAGCAAAACTTCAGATCTTCTTCAAAGTTTCCTCACTCGGTAAGCTCTTAGTTCTTTACTCTTTGTTTACTCTTCACTTAGCGTAGAAGTAGGATAGCACTAACTTCGAGCTAACTCCCCGAACCCTGTACTAACTCCCGACCGACCTTTAGGTAGAATTATGTCGGACTCGGATAGTCAAAACGCCTCGATCGCGGACTATGACGAGGAGGTCGAGTACATCAGCGACGAGGAAGTGGACATTATGTCCTGCACTCCTGAAGCCAGCCCCCGAGCAACGCCAGCCCCTGAGCGAGCCGTCAAGCATAGCAACGCATCAAGCTCCTCCGGGACGTCGAGCTCTAGCTCCAGCGGATCGGGGAGCTCCAGCGAAGAAGAGGAAGAGAGAACCACGTCAAGCGGGCGGGGAAAAGGAGATTCCCACTGCCCGACCCCTGAGCGCCTCGACCGTGACGACGGGCGAGGGCTTCGTCGTTGAGCAGCCTGACGTCCTGGTTACCCGGGTAGAGGTCGCCCGGGGCAAGGAGAAGGTCGCCGACCAGGGCGCGACCGAGGTGGGCAGCTTGAAGCGCCGCCGTGACCAACACAGCCCGAGCCCTTCGGTCGGGCGAGAAAGGGATTCTACGTCCGTGCTGGCACGGATCGGCAACGCCGCGCCAGCCCGAGTGGATCTGGGGAAGATGACCCCGACCCAGGTGGCTGAACGGATCGGCCACGACCTGGCTGAGGTGAGTTTCCCAACTTATAATCTTTCTTTGCCCAAGTATCTTTGACCGGGCTAACCCTGGATACCCTTTTGTACTGCAGATCTCCCGGGCGACCCAATTCCTTCAAGGTCAGGCCATGCTGGCCGAGGAAGCTGATCATCATAAGAAGACGGCCGCTCGTCGTCTGAAGGAGATCAAGGAGCTCCAGGCCGAGCTGGAGAAGACGCAAAAGGCCCTGAAGAAGGGCGACGAGGAACGGGTCCTCGCCGAGAAGGTCGCCAGTCGGGCGATTGGAGAGGCCAAGGAGCTGAAGGCTCAGCTCGAGAATCCGAGCGAGCTGGCGCGAGCAGCCTTCAAAGACAAGGACTTGGGCTCGGCCTTCCTTACAGCAGCCCGGGGAACAGAGATCGGGGAAGAGCTGATCGTCTCGTTCGGTCGCTGGGGCTTTACGGCCGGGAAACGGAAGATGCTTGAACGAGTCCGTTCCCGGTTGGAGCAGGCTCTAGACGGGGAAGACCTTCAGCTGGTCCTCTCGGTATTACCCCCGGACCTAGCCGATCCCGGTCCCTCTCCCTTCGCCCCAAAAGCCAAGGCGTTTGAAGCCGGGGCATCAACGGCGGCCACCTCAAGCGGAAAGGAACCGGCTGCCGAAGCTCGGGAGACGAAGAAGTAGAATAGGCTCCTTTCTTCTTCTACTTTTTGTAAAGGGCCATTGATCGGGAGCCCGGTCCCGAATTGTACCGGGCAGCTTTCGTTAATTAATGAAATTTATTTTTTGTTCTATCTTGCGTCGCTCGTCTCTTGTTTCCTTGCTTTCAATTTGCACACACTGATCTCAATCACTCGACCCCCTGGCCTTTAGACCCGGTCTCGCAATACTTGATCCGCTTAACGCCCGACCTTATGACCTTATGGCCTGGTCGTGCGTTCGATATTTCGACGTCAAATCTGGCCAACCGATCGGGTTTACCCGATCTCCGGGCCTTTGTCGAAAAAATATATATTTTTTTGAAAAACGCCTCTACGGTCGGAATGTAACCGAGCGACGGGCCTGCAAAACGCCTCTACGGTCGGAATGTAACCGAGCGACGGGCCTGCAAATACTTCCTTATCCCAGCCCCCACACTATTGTGCGCTCGAGGCACGAGTGGGTGCAATAGTGGACAGAAGTTGGACGGATCGGGGAATAATGCTGAGAGTTCCTGGCTTCCCCGATCAGTGGCA